AAATCATCCCAGATAAACACGAGAAAATCCAAAATTTCCCTGCAGCATTCCTCAAAATTTCTCATAAACCATATACAAAGAGCGAAAAAACATGAACGGATATATAACTGAAAGTGAAATGAGAATGAGAAAATTGGACCTTCTCGAGCTCGTCTTGGATCTCTTGAAGCTTCTCGATGGAAAGAATGAGGTCTCCGTCGATTTGTTCAAATTTCTCTTCTTCTCCCTTCTCTGCTACTTTCATCTTCTTTCCTTTGTCTGCCACCATTTTGTTTTCTTTCTTACAGCCAAACGATGAAAAATCAAACCCTAACCTAAATAATTGCCTATTTCTCTCTGTTTTTTTCTAAAACCCTAATATTATTTCCCTCTCCTTGGATAGCAACGAGTGAGAACAGTGCGAGAGCGAGAGGACAAAATGCTAGGGTTTTGGGAGTTTATATCTGCTCCGTTAGGAAATATTTTAAGATACATGATAGATCAATAGGAGTCTGACAGCTGGAACAAAATGGCATTATTGTCATTTGTTGGACGAAATTTAGGGGCAGTATAGAAAATTCGATGATAGATTCTCCATACTTTGTCTCTTGATGTTTAGATTATAACGGAATCTTCACATCTTCGGGCAAAGCTTAAGGCCTGTTTAACTTCTGAAAATTATTTTTGGATTCAAAATATTTTTTAGGTTATAAGTAATATTAAACATAATTTTTTTTAAAAATAATTTGTGTTTGAAATTTGATTTTAAATTCAAACGTATATGTTTAATTTTTATTTGTTATGATATTTTCTATGTATTTTATAATTTATAAAATTATAATTTTATGTTAAGTTATGATGATTGCTTTTTGTATTATCATCAATACATTATTCATAAGGAATAAATATCGAATATATTTAAATTTATAGGTGAAGAATAATATATATATATATATATATATATATATTTAGTAAATGAGAGAAATAATTACTGACCTAATATGCGAGTTTGTCTGCATGAAGCTTGTTTTCCATTAGCTGAATGGCCTCCTTATTGTCTAGTTCCATGAATCCCCAGTTCCCATGCCATTTTCATTCCTATATATGCGCCCCAAAGTTCAGCTTCAAGTACCGAACATATGCCGATGTATTTATGGAATCCCAAGATCCATTCCCCCTCATGGTTTCTTGAGTATTCACCACATTTTGAACTGTCGTCTGAGGGATTACAGCTGGCATCTGTGTTTATCCTATGCCATCCTAGTAATGGTCGAGTACATGTGTGTTTCCTGATAGTGTTACATTACTGTTTTTAACTATTTATCTAAATTGTTTTAGATTTCTAATGATATTGAATATTTTTACGACACGATACCTGATTTTCTAAATATTGTTTATATGATATTTGATTTACTGTATATTTATGATATGATATATGGTTATTGTATTTCTGTGTCTAGTTTATGAGTATGAAATATTTTCATATTTTAATGGATTAAAATATCGTTTTAATTCGAATACATACATGTTTATTACTGTCATTGGGAGAATTATTGGAGGAAGCATATTAGGCCTAGTCTATGACTTGTAAGACCTTACCGCAAGCTCCCCTACTTTGTACACATGGTAAGTCCTTACCGTAGGTTCTTATGGTATATGTATAAGGCCCTTACTGGGTGTGCAAGTGGGTGTATGATTCTAGGGAACTTACACATTCTGTTGATCAGACGGGGGTATTGTTCATATTTTTAAAATATGTTTGATGAACTATTTTTTTACTGAAGTATTTTATCTGATGTTTTTATACAGAGAAAATAACCTCAGTGACCAAAAATCTCAGATAATATACGATTTTGACCAACTTTTTTTGGATTTGCGAAAATAACTAACAAAATCGCAATGCGATCTCTAATTCGCATTGCGATCTCCACTATCGCAAATTCACGTTGCATTTCGCGTTGCGATTTTTCATTTCGCGTTGCGATTTTCCAGTTCGCGTTGCAATAGTTGAAAATCGCGTTGCGATTTTCCATTTCGCGTTGCGATTTTCCATTTCGCGTGGCGATTTTCTATTTCGCGTTGCGATTTTTCATTTCGCGTTGCGATAGTCTACAGTTGTCGTTGCGATTTTCCAAATTCGTTGCGAAAATTCGTTGCGATAGTTTAAAAAAAATATTTTATTTCTCTAAAAAGATAGTATCCGCGCGGACGTGTCGAAGACACGTATTACCACGACCACGACCACGAGACGGCGGCGGCGGCTGAGCGCGAGAGTCCCCCTTGTTCTCTATCACTCAACAAGGAAGTGAAAAAGCCAAGCCTTAAATACTATTCCTAATAGTGTTTCCAATACTATGTGGGATTTGAGCATTACCAACACTTGTTCTCAATACTATGTGGGATTGAGCCTTAAATAGTGATATTATTTTTGAATGTTTTGCTTAAAATTGCAATAATCGCGATTGATTGTAGATTGACTTTTAATTATGACATATTTAATCGTATAATACTAATGCAATTGGTTGCTAATTCAATTGTTTTAAGGTGCATGATTGTTAATTGTTTCCTGAATAATCACATTGTATTGGAAACAAGTGTTGGTAATGCTCAATCCACATAGTATTGGAAACACTATTGGGAATGGTATTTAAGGCTTGACTTTCTCACTTCCTTGTTGAGTAATAGAGAACAAGGGGGACTCTCGCGCGCCGCCGCCGCCGTCCGTCCGTCTCGGGCCGGGCCGGGCCGGGCCGGCCGGGTCGTGGTCGTGGTCGTGGTCGTGGTCGTGGTCGTGGTCATACGTGTCTTCGACACGTCCGCGCGGATACTATCTTTTTAGAGAAAATTCTTAAGAAACAAAATCGTTTTTTTAACTATCACAACGAATTTGGAAAATCGCAACGACAACTGTAGACTATCGCAACAACAACTGTAGACTATCGCATTGCGATTTTGTTGGTCATTTTCGCAAATCCAAAAAAAGTTGGTCAAAATCGTATATTATCTAGGATTTTTGGTCACTGAGGTTATTTTCTCTTTTATTCACCGTAAGGAGCACACTGAGCTTTTTTAGCTCATTTTGTAAATTTTAACCTTTTCAGATAGTAGCAGACCGTAAACTAACAGACTTGGCATCATGAGGACCAACTACTCCTATTTTTGTACCATTGTATATCTCTATATGTCTTTTTGTTATACTTTGGTGACACGTGTTTTACTACTGTTTTGATATATCTGTATTATCAATATTTTGTTTTGTAAATGTTTTATAGTTTTCTGATTTATGCATATATATGTTTATCGTATGAATTTTTCTTATGACTAATTTCATATTATACTATTATATGAATTTTAACGTTGTTTTAAATATGAAAAGAATTTCTAAATACGATATAAAACCGCCTAGATTTGATCATAACGTCCAGGCCGGGTCTAGGGGGTTATACAAATATAAAATAGAATTTGATTAACTCAAAATTTAAAACTTGAGTTATAAAATAAGATTCATTAACTTAAATAATTTAAAAACTTTTTAATTCGATTCGATCGAATGCTCGCCCTCAACCTCATAAATCTTTTTTTGTCTTTTGGGTTCAAGACATTTAGTAACTATACGGAGTGGGCCGTTGATCTGTCTTGTAATGTTGTGCTTCTCCGACAGTATCTTTATCTGCGTTATCTTCTTCTCAGTTTATGCTGATGTTAGAACTAGATAACAACAGTGACATGTGTCTTAACTCATATCCTCTCTTTGTTGTTTATTTAAATGGTTGAAGCAGTGTAGAACTTGAAGTATCCGATCAATTAAATTAAAAAATTATTTGATTTAATTTTTACATATAAAAATTTTATTAATAATTAGAAACCTGTTAAATTAAAAGAATTATTTTTTATTCTTACTAAACAGAGGATAGAATTATAACTAGAAAACCCATTAAATTAATAAATAAGTGGATATGGTTTTTTCCTTAAGTCTAAACCAACAATGGTTGCACTATTCTAAACCAACACTGCTTAAGATAATGTTGATATTTTAAGATTGGATGTGATGGACAACCCCTCCTCCCCTCTAATTTAATGTGCATTTATAGTGCAACATTCTCACTTCATAATCTCATCATGAGCTCGAGTTGATCACTTGTTAATAGATATAAATTCATATAAAATTAAATAGTGAGAAATATTATTTCAAGAAGACAAATAACATATTTTAAAATTAATTTCATCGAATATCGGGTATCAAAAGAGATCAAAGTATTAGCCATTCGAACTTTTAAATAGATTTTCGTCGACTTTAAGTGAGTTTCGTGGAAAATCAATCTTAAGATAAGAAAGAGAAGTAAAATGTGAATGATTCGGTCTCTATCTTACCGCAAAAGATGATTGACGATAGGAAGAGATTGGCTATCGATGTTGACCAGAGTGTCAAAAATGATGTTTAAAATCGATACACATTTAAAGTTTAGTGTCTAGAATGATATTGTTTTAAGCATCAATAGTTGCACCAAAAAATATTGTTTTATTCATATCACCACACCATTTGAATTTTAATGGCCTAGTGACATAATTGAAATTAAAACTAAAGTTCAATACTATAGTCGGAGAAATTGAAATTTCAGTAATATGTATATATATATATCATAAACATGTCATTGTGGACAATATTCTTGGTTGTTTTGATCATTAAATTTGAAAGCACCATTGAAGCTTGCAGCTTTCCATTGATCCCACAAAATGGACAAGTAGAAAGAGACAGTTTGGTGATGATATAGCCACATTTTTCTATCTTGTGGCGACTTTTCATCCTATTGTTTGCAAAGCAATGTTTGAAAACAACTAGACATTAAGTGCAAAAAGCAATTGTCAAAAATTCCAAAGCTTAATCTGCTAGGAAATGGTTCAATAATTTCTTTAATATTTTCGGTTGATAGCATACACATATCTTATTGACGTAGTTGTTCTAATCTAAATCCTTAAAAAATATTTTTTTATTACAATGTTACAACATGAAATGGTGGGACTTGGGTTTTTTTTGCAACATAAAATAAATGCCCACTTTCTCCAATGGTTGTGTCCTCTTGCTTTTGGATCTTTGAGTTCCGAAATGGAGGAATCAAATGTCAATGCAAAAAGCTCGATGTTTTGATAGGCTCTTGGAAGGGAGGGAAATGATAAAGCTTCCCAAAACATGAATGTCCCCATGGTTGAAAATCAAGATAACAACAACAGAAACTTGAAGTGATTGGACAAAATGTTGTCTACTTGCCTAGCAAAATTCAGATTCTCCTCTTATGTAGTTATGTTCCCATGCTGTTGTGCATTTTTGTGACACGACAATATATGGACCATTGTCGTTCAACTTTCCGGCGAGACACAATCAGTGCTTCAAAAGGCTCATATACATGCAAAATGAGGAATTACAGAATTAAAAAGGAAACCTTTTGTTCATATAGAAAAGATTCTTCACCTAGCTTTGATTCATCCATTGTGAAAGTTTTCTCACGGAAACAGTTTATTAAGATCTATGGTGTTCGGACTCTTCATTTTTTCCTTTTTTGTGTATGCTGTTTCGACGACCATGGCTGATTTGTGACTCTTGCACCCCAATATCCCTCCCGATCGGCTTCTTTGTGCCTCTTTGGTGGTGTTGGCCACTCTACTGGCTGTTTTCGATTCCATTTTGTCATAATCCGAAACAGACGGGCAGTCCTTTGCTCCGGCCGTGACGACGCTCCATTTGACACTGGTCTCACTCGGCGCATACGGTGTCATGCAGCTAGACTTGCCGATGGATTCTAGACCATCGCCATATATGTTATCGATCTCGAAGAGATCTGAACTACAATTACTCTCGATATCATCGTTCGTCCGACTGTTTCTCGAAACAGACGGGGCGTTCGGGATGGCATCCCAAGTTAACATCGAGAGTTTCCTCTCGAGGTTCTTGGTTACGTCCCCTTTCTTCATCGCGGTGGATCCGAACACTTCGAGCGATTTCCTTGGATCATCTAACTGTGTTTCGAGTTTCGGAAAACACGCTTCTCTGTTCGATCGAACACTCGTCTGATCGAACACATCCGGTTGAATCAATTTCTTTCTCACTTCTTTAGCATGAACCCTTCCACGATCAACGTTAATTTGATCGACGAGAACCGACTTCCCATTGGAACAAGCCCCGGTGCAGCTAAGATTAGAGAAAAAGCTCCTTCCATCAACCTTTTTTTCCTTGTTCACGGATCCATCCCTCATGAAACTTCGTAACAGAACACTCTGGCTACTCCAACTCGCTTCGGAACTCGCACTCGATGTCCCGGGCCGACACCGTGTACCCATCTGATGCTGCCGAGCATCGTTGTCGTCGTCTATGTCGCCGAGTTTAGTATTGAAGTATTTTTCAGCTCCCAAGACACCGATTTCACCCGCCCGGCTCTTATTTCCTCGTAATGGTCCAATGGCAACCTGAGGATGCTTAATCCCAGGCTCTACAAATTTATGCACAAAGATCTCTTCGGCGGTGCTAAGGTAAGAAGAAAAGGAGACCTCACCGGGACAGCTGTGTTTCTTCTTTTGGCCATCCATAATCTCAAATTTGGAGGAGATTTAAAGGTTTGGGCAGAGCTAGTAAAGATATCAGAGCAGAGGTACTGGTTACTTGGAACTTTTGTTGTTAATTCCAGAGAAGTGGAGATCACCTGGCTTCTTAAGAAGACTATATGCTGATGATCATGAGGTCCTACTCCTCAGGCTTTAATTAACAATTCATATTCCATCACTCTTTTTTAGGTAAACTCATGTTTAGTGCCTAAACTATTACTTTTATTCTGTTTCAGTACCCAAATTTTATTTTTTTAAATAATACCTAATATTTAGTTTAAGTTTTATTTTGGTATCATCCGTTAAAAATTTATCGGTGATGTTGACATGTCACCATAAAATAACACCACATCATCATTGAAAAAAATAAAAATATCACGCCAATAGTTCTGTTAATTTTTAACGACAAATACAAAATTGAAACATAAACTAAACTTTAGGCATGATTTTGAAAAAACAAAATTTATATAACAAATTGGAATAAAATAATAGTTTAGATACTAAACTCGTAGTTTGCCCTTTTTTTTTTAAATTAGGGAATATCATGAATGAAAAAAATTAAGATAAATATATAATATTATGTAAAAGAATTTAGGAAAATAAAGTGAGCAAACGTTAAAGTAATCTGTAGTTGTCAACGACTTTAACTTTTTCTTATATAATTTTGAGACTAAATTCCTCATATATTCATTTTAGTCCTTAAAGTAAACAAATATCTATAAATACGATAATCATGTTTGACCCTCAAGAATTTGACTTTGTTTCCAGTTGTTTTAAATTTGATTTCTTTATAGAGAATTTGTAATTTTATAAGTTAAAGTCGGTAACATTTTTAATTAGATTTATTTAATTTTATATTAGTATCTATCTGGGTTATTTTGTTCTGTTATAAAATAATTCTATACCCATTTGCTTATTTTACTTGTTTCAAATGTTATGCAATATTTTGCTCGAAGAAAATCCCCCCGTCTGCCAGTCGTTTAACTTTAAAGCCTTTCATTACTGAAAAGAGTTGATCAAATTCTGAATTTGGTTTTTCAAATTGCAAATTAATGATCATATCTTTTTTGTGCTATTTTTCTTGTTTTAGGATAATCCGAAGCTCTATCTGAGAAGAAGGGCTAAACACCTTCATATGTTAATTGGTTTAATGGGGTTGAATATGATTATACTGTGTTAGAATTTTCGTCTCGGAATGAGTCCTGCTTTGTTTCCTAAACATGTAGCTGCAGTTTTGAAATACCAAAGGGATCCACTCAAAGCGCTTCAAATGTTCAATGCGGTAAAGAAAGAAGATGGATTCAAGCACACGTTGCTAACCTATAAGTGCATGGTTGACAAGCTTGGGTTTCATGGGGAATTCGAGGCCATGGAGAAAGTACTGCTAGAGATGAGACTGAATGTCGATAACAGTCTCCTCGAAGGAGTTTATATTGGGTGCATGAAAAATTATGGACGCAAACAGAAAGTTCAAGAAGCTATTGATGTGTTTGAGAGGATGGATTTTTATAATTGCGAGCCGACGTTCCTATCTTATAATGCAATCATGAATGTTTTGGTTGAACACGGATATTTCGACCAGACACACAAGGTGTATATGAGAATGAGAGATAAAGGGATTGTTCCCGATGTGTACACTTTCACGATTAGGATAAAGTCGTTTTGTAGGACGAAGAGGCCTCGTGCTGCTTTGAGGCTTCTAAAAAACATGCCTATGCAAGGATGTGAGATAAATGCAGCGGCTTATTGTACCGTAGTAGGAGGGTTTTTCGAAGAGAACCATCACATTGAAGCATATGAGTTGTTTGATGAGATGCTTGACCTGGGAATTTCTCCAATTACCACTACATTTAATAAACTTTTACACATTCTCTGCAAGAATGGTAACGTTCGAGAGTGAAAAGCTGGTGAATAAGGTGAAAAAGAGGGGAATATCTCCAAATTTGTTTACAGTCAATATCTTTATCTCCAAGGGCTTTGCAGAAAAGGAGCTCTCAATGAGGCCATTAGTCTATTGAATGGTGTGGCTGAGGAAGGTATGAAACCGGATGTTGTTACATACAATACCTTAATATGTGGCTTGTGTAAGAGCGCCAAGGTTGCAGAAGCCAAAATATTTTTGCATAAAATGGTGAACGAAGGTCTGAAGCCGGATGGTTTTGCCTACAATGCTGTCATTGATGGATATTGCAAATTGGGCATGATACAAAATGCAGACAAGATTCTCAATGATGCAATTTTCAAGGGTTTTATTCCTGATGAGTTCACCTATTGTTCCTTAATTAACGGGTTATGCCGGGATGGTGAGACAAACAGTGCTTTGGCTGTATTTAACGAGGCTTTGGGGAAAGGATTAAAGCCTAATATTATTATGTATAACACTCTTATCAAAGGGTTGTCTTTGCAGGGACTATATTGCAAGCCTTGCAGCTGATGAATGAGATGTTGGGAAATGGTTGCAGTCCCAGTATATGGACTTACAATGTAGTTATAAATGGATTATGCAAGATGGGATGCGTCTCCGATGCTAATAATTTGTTGAATGATGCTATCGTGAAAGGCTACCTTCTTGATATTTTTACGTTTAGTACTTTGATTGATGGATACTGTGTAAGCAGTTGAAAGTGGATAATGCAGTTGAGATTCTAAATCAAATGTGGAACTATGGTGTTATTCCTGATGTGATCACATATAACTCTGTGCTGAATGGCCTCTGCAAAACTTCCAAGTCCGAAGATGTCATGGGAACTTTTAAAACCATGATGGAGAAAGGTGTAATGTATTCCCAATATAATCACCTACAATATACTTATTGAGAGCCTTTGTAAAGCTCGTAAACTTCCTTGAAGAAATAGAAAATAAGGGTCTTTCTCCTGATATTGTTAGTTTTGGCACGCTGATCCATGGATTTTGCAGTAATGGAGAGCTGGACGGAGCTTATCATCTGTTTAGAAAAATGGAACAAAGATACAAGGTTTGTCATACAATGGCAACATACAATATTATGATTAATGCCTTTTCTGAGAAGCTAAAGATTAATATGGCTGAAAAGCTTTTCCATGAAATGGGTGAAAATGGATGTTTCCCATACAGTTACACTTATCGTGTTATGGTTGATGGCTTCTGCAAAACAGGAAGAGTCATGATTTCCTTCTAGAAAAAGTTGAGAAAGGGTTCCTTCCATCTTCAACGACATTTGGACGGGTTATAAACTGTCTTTGAGTAGAGAATAAAAAGTTCATAAGGCAGTTCGTCTGATCCACCTGACGGTAAAAAAGGGCATAGTTCCTGAGATTGTGAACACCATTTTTGAGTCGGATAAGAAGGAAATTGCAGCTCCTAAGATGGTTGTAGAAGATTTGTTGAAAAGGGGTCATATAACTTATTATTGCATATGATCTTCTTCATGATGGAGTTAGAGATAAAAAGCTACTAAAGAAGCTTCAAAGTAGGTAGCATCATAAGATTTATACAAGGGGTTGTATATTGCTGATTTGAACCATAAATTTTATAAAATGTTTTTTTAACCATATTGAAGTAAACGATTACACTTTAAACAATATCTAGCCTTGAATTTGAACATAGAGGTTTGCTCCCCGCAACTTAGCATGTGCTGTTGCAGCTACTGCCTCATTTTCGAGTTGAAAAGTTAACCTTCATTTTGAACGATGAGAGTCTTTCTCCAATCTCCATGATGTGATCTGTCAACACACACAAAAATCAACTTTCGAAAGAATTGTGGACAGATGATGGCATGATAGAGATCAAGTCTATGTTACTTCGACTCTTTATTTTTCTTGAAATACTCATGTCAATGCATATTCAGACATAGATATATGATTCTCCAGAGACCCTTCTAATACATGCAAATCTTTATAAAAAAATTGAACATGCCTATGTTGGAAAAATACTCATAACCTACATTCACAGACATAAGATAAGTACGTATAAGATCGAGAGAACAATGAATAAAAATTATTCAAAGTAGAAAGTTGCCTTCCAAATATAATTGGCATACATTTGTAGCGTACGAGAAAGGGATGTTCCTTGTCCAGGAAAGCAAGCTCCAGTTTCTTGAGAATAAGTCAATTCCTGGGAAAGTGTGGAACTTCAGTTAAAATATCATGAAACATCCCAACAAAGAATAGAATGTGATCTGCATCAAAATTCAAGTAGAACTCCGACCGGGTTCCTTCCTCACCCCACTTCCCTCCGTCAGGCTTCTGATCTCTACAACTCCTTCCCACTGACCTATGTCAGCACAGATATTAGATAGAACTCCGACCGGTTTCCTTCCTCGCTCCACTTCCCTCCATCAGGCTTCTGATCTCTAGGACTCCTTCCCACTGACCTATGTCAGCACAGATATTAGATAAGGAAACATAAGCTCCAGCGTTACAAGGTTGTAACTCGATGAGCTTCTTTGCTGCCAACCTTCCGAGTTCAACATTTCTATGTACTTTACAAGCAGCAAGTAGAGTTCCCCAAATGAAGGCATCAGGTTCAGTAGGCATATTGTTTAAAAACTCTTCAGCCTCTCTCAGTTTCCCAGACCGACCAAGAATATCAACCATGCAGGCATGGTGTCGGTAATTAGGTTGAATTCCGTAGTCTTTGGCCATTGAGTTTAGATAGTAGTAACCTTCTTCAGTAAGCCCACTATGACTGCAGGCAGATAAAACCTTAACGAAAGTTATTGAGTCAGGGCTGATTCCTTCTTTCTTCATGAGCTCAAAGATTCTTAAGGCCTCTAAACCTTTTCCATGCTGAGCATAGCTTGATATAATAGCTGTCCAACCTACCAAATCAGGTTTATTGATCTCGTTGAATACATTTTCACAATCTTTAATGCTCCCACATTCAGAGTACATTGTAGCAAGTGAACTTCCAACAGAAACTTCTGAAACTAAGCCTACTTTTACGGCAAGTGAATGCAGTTGAGTCCCAATGCCTGATTCATCTGGAAATGCACAAGCCCTAAGGACAGGTGAAAGTATATATGAGTTTACTGCCAAATTAGACTTCATCATTGCACGAAAAAGCAACACTGCATCTTGAACTAAACCACTTTGGGCATACCCCGAAATCAAGGACGAGTACGATACAAGATCTTTTGGGACAAGCATGTCAAATACCTTTCTTGCTAATCGTAGTGCTCTGCATTTTGCGTATACAGTTATAAGTGTGCTACAAATAAGTGCTTCATTGCCGAGACCTGCACAGATTGCATACCCATGAATTTCCATGCCTTTTCGCAGAGAATAAAGAGACGAGCATGCAGAAAGAATTGCAGATAGAGTTATTTTATCAGGTCTGATGCCCTCAGATTTCATGTCTTTGAACATCTGAACAGCTTCTTCTGCATAACCATGTTCTGTAAACCCAGCAATCATTGAAGCCCATGAAATATTGTCATGGACAGGCATACTCTGAAATACCTTTAATGAGTCTTCTAAACTACCACATTTCGAGTACATTGTGAAAAGAGAAGTCTCCACAGAAAGATCGAAGATCAACCCGGTTTTAAGAGTGTAACAGTGCATCTGCCTCCCCAGTTTTATACATTCTATCACACTTATGACACTAGAAGTACAAGACTTATCTGGTCTTGCGCCGTCCTTTAACAGTCTCCTTAATAATTCAATTACTTGTTGAGAACTCTGTTTCTGAGCAAAAGAAGAAATCAACACAGCTAATGTATCTGCTGGAATCCTCATGCTTTCCATCTCTTTGTACACTATGTCAGCCATATTACTGAATCCTATTTTCGAATACATGTTGACCAAAGCAGCTTGTATTACTGAATGCATAAAAAATCCACTCTTTATAATCCACGAATGGATTTGCATAGCCTCTTCGATCATGTTTAGTTTAGCACAGGCAGAAATAACAGCAGTAGCTGTATAGCTGTTTATTTCCACATTTACGTCTCTCATTTCTTTAAAAAGTTCAAGGGCATTGACACAATCATCTGTCTGCACAAATCCAGAAATTATAGCAGTCCAAGAAGCAACATTTAGCATAGGCATCCATGAGAATGAATTCACAGCTTCACCCATGTCTCCACACTTGACATACAAGTCAATCAAGGCAGTTCCGACAAAGACATCTTCGGCGCCACATTTAACGATCCACCCGTGAACTTCTTTTCCGATCTCAACCTCATTAAGTGCAGCACAAGCTGTCAAAACACTCGAGAAGGTAAACCTGTTAGGCATCAAAAACCGCTTTCTCATTTGAACAAGAAGATCCAAAGCAACCCAATTTTCTTCGTTCTTAACAGCTGCAGATATAATAGCATTCCAACATACCACATTCTCACAAGTCGATACGTCATAAAACACCCTCAACGCATCCCGAAAGGCACGACATTTTGAAAATAAATCAATAATTCCAGTACGAACGTATCCATTCGAAAAGAACCCATTTTTCATCGTAACTGAATAAACCTGCTTGCCGAACGTAGTACTTTGCATAGCAACACAAGCCGAAAGCACCCTTCTATAACTAATCTCATCGGGTTCCGAACCCGACAGCCACATGTTTCGAAACCATAACCAAGAACTCTCAAACAACCTGTTGTAATTGAACCCATGGATCATAGTATTCCATGAAGTTACGGTTGGTTCGGGCATTTCACCAAACAGTTTGACAGCTTCTTCCATTGAACCACATTTGCAGTACCCATCAAGCAAAAGATTTATAACAGTGATATCGGATTGAAGTTTTGATGATCTGAGCAAATGGGCATGCAAAAGTTTGGGGCTTTTGATAGTAGAGAGTATTGATCTTCTGTCATCGATGAAAAGGCTAGAAGGATTAGAGAAAGTTGGATTTGTTTCATCATTTTCTACGCTGCAAATGGATGGGGGCTTCAATGGCAGCTGGAGTTGATATACATTTATAACAATTGTAAGAGATTTGGGTATGAACTCGTTTATGGACAAGAGAACGCATTTCAGAGGATGAATCTACATATATTCCTTCTTTGATCTTCTGAGACTATGGTTTAGGCAGGAAAATAGAAACATAAACGATATATAAATTATTACAGCAACACGCGCCATCAAAGGTCAAGATGGCCGAGTTGGTCTAAGGCGCCAGTTTCAGGTACTGGTCCGAAAGGGCATGGGTTCGAATCCCATTATTGACAATCTAGAATTTTTAGCCTATATTTTGTCCATAATTGAGTTTATTTCTTAACGTTAATCAAACCAAAATTAATTTTATCCATTTTTAAATTCCAAAGTAATTATTTATTTTAAAAAATCTTAAAAATAGAAATTTAACCCTAAAGAATCTAAATCTAAATTAATATTTTATTTAATTTAAAAAATTTAATATTTCAAAAATTTTTAATAAATCATGGGTGAGTAATATTTCATATTATTTAAATTTAAAATTAATAACTATTTTTTGTTATAATAGTTTTAACACATCATATCAAACTTCATCATATCAAACTTACACAAAGTAGATGGTAGGGATGGCATGGCAAACGGGCGGGTCGGGTGTGGATACCTCCTCCTCCATCCCCATACCCACTTAATATTTTTCAATCCACCACCCGCCCACTACCTATGATGGGTACAAATTTTCAAATCCACACCCTCCCACGCGGGTATATTTTTAAATCCATCCCCACACCCACTACCCACTAGCGACATACCCATCTAGACCCGCCTGACATCAAACTAATGGATGTTAGAGTTGGTTCCCAGACAGTTCGTGATGGGGTAACAGCGTATGCTTCAATTTGTCAGAGGAGTGGCTCTACGAATGTTATGGAGACAAATTGTAGGGAGCATGTAGTCGCAGAGCTGGATTGTTGAGTTGCTTTCGATGTTAATGCTCATAGTGCGCCTAATATGGGTTTGAGGGGCTAAAGAACATCGAAACTGCTACTTTTGATGTTAATGCTTATAGTACGGCTAATTTGTGTTTGTATGGGCAGCATGAGCTAAAGAACATGGAAAGTGACGTGGTTAGTGGGATTATGAGTTTAATCAAAGAGTCGAATATTTCCCTAATTAAAGACCAGATTAAAGACTAAATATCCTTAATATTTGGTTAAATTATATGTTATATATTATACAATATTAAAATTTATAAATTAGTCTCTAAAATTACACCTAAATTCATTATGGTCCAAAATTTAATAGATATTTAGTTGGGCGGGCGGATGTGGGGCGGGCGGATGCGGGGCGGGTAATGTCTCAAACCCATTACCCGCCCACCACCCACGACGGGTACCACTTTATAAATCCACACCCGCCCACTACCCGCTAAAATTATACCCATCCCCGCTTCAATTGGAGCGGATGCGGTGCGGAATCCACGAAACTGTACCCATTTGCCATCCCTAATAGATGGTTGAGGTGATTATAAAGAAGTATATGTTTATAAAATTCTTAATCATTAACAAATTCACAAACATATCTGTTGGAACTCAAGAATTCAAAGGAAAACAATATTATTTTTAACTATTGAAATCACTCAATAAGCTCATCGAAATCATCATCTATATGGTATATTGTAATAACATTTTGTTAAATTTAAAATCAAATTAATGAGTGTAAATTGTTGTTACGAAGATAAAACACTTTTTTCTCATGTGAAAATAATTATAAATCTAATCATAATCCTTTCTAAATGAAGAGAAAGATGACTCTAGGAGAAGAAAGATAAGTGTTTTTAGTAGATCTAAAATTTATAACTTAAATAAATATAAGAGAACAAAGATAAACAATATAATCAACCGATCAAATGCACTTACTCAATTAATCCATTTTAAGATGTTACAATTTTAATCAAAATAATATATATGTTATCGAGTCTTTATTGAGTTAACAACCCAATAATATAATTAAAGATAAAAACATAATTCAGCGTTATAATTAAAATAATTACAAATTTTCTCATTCTAAACAATGTGTTTCATTATGCGAAGCGATTCAGCAACGTGTTTCGCATTCTAAACAACTAGGGCCGATAATTTTTCTTGATTAAATTAAAAATTGATGTATTTAAACGGTTTATGAAATATGAAATATGAATTATAAATTATAAATATTCGATCAGAATTGAATTTAAAATTTTATTTTTATAATTGAAAAAATTTATATATTAATAATAATGAATATAAATTATAAATATTAATTATTTAATGATGAAGGCTTAAACACATTTGTAGTCTGTAGTGATCAAACCTGAAACCTCTAGGAATAACAACCATCTTTTACCACCGAGATAGCTTGATTCGTGCTACGAGAGCTAATGCTCGATGTTCAACATTTAAAGTTACTTCATAATTAAATGACATAAATATAAAAATGCCTTTAATCTTTAATTAAATAGTCACTTTCATTCTTATTCTCTTTTTCTGGAGCACTTTAACCCCCAAAAATTTTACGATAAAATAACCCTTGATTGGATTAAAATCGTTAATTGACTAACAGTTAACGCTTGTAGACATGAAAAGTCTTATGTGTCTAAAGTAATGAAGTGATACATGTCATGTTTATATAAATGATGACATGGAATATAACATGTGTGCATTAGTGATGATGTGACTCATGTAACCGTTTTGAACACATAAGACGTGTCACATCAATAAAAAATTTTGACTATTAGTCAATTAATAATTTTCCAATCAGGCATTCTTAAAATAATATTTAGACTACTAGAGAATAAAAATTTCAATGAAAATGATATTTTGAGATGTAGGAAGACTAATTTTATCTATTTTCTCAATGAAAGGATCAAAACTCAGTCAATAAAATAATACAAGGACCGATAAGGGGCTTTTACCTATAAAATTTATATTAATGTAGTATTTTTTCCCCTCACATTGTTGACGTTGCAAACCCTATAAAGGGCGAACACTGTATTGTGTGTGGCCAACGTGAATTCCATATAACAAAGAAACTGTAAACCAACACTTCTAAGAACTGATTTTTTTCTCTCCATTGACTCGTTCCGATTCGGTGATTCACAAAAAAAAAAGACCCTTTTCTTAATTATTGTGGACGGTGATTGAGTTGAATTCACTGCTCGAAATTCAACTTGTACATGTGTTCTAATGCGTTTCTTGAATGGATTGCTTATTACATTGTTTTGGCTTGTAAACGTGAGTACAACACAAGTGGAAGACACCATTTAACAAATGTGTAAAAAAGGTGGAAGTAACAAATTTACTATCCTTTACAAATTAAGTCCCATGTTGCATTGAGTTTTGATTTAGTTAATTATTTTATGCTCCCGGACCTCGTGCTCCGACTTGACATTTTCGAGAAACTTGAAAAGGAATATGTACGCACCGTGAGTTTTAATGGTTATGGTAACGTCTTAGTCTCTGGCTCTTCAGACAAGCAAATTATGCTATGGGACAGGGAAACAGGGTTTCCCAAGCTTACTTTCGAGTCCGGTCATGAGAATCTCTGGCACGTTTTCCGAGCTAGAATCATGCCTTACACAGACGATCGCAACTTGATCACATGTGCTGGATATGGTCAGGTGAATGAATTTCTTATTTAGGCATGCATAAGCAAAGTCCACTATGTAGTGAATTGGGGAATTCTTATTCTAAGGGTCTATTTGTTTCTCTGGAATTGATTTTCCGAAAAATGTTTTCCTCATTTTCTGGTGTTTGGTTAGCGAAAAATAAATAGTCAATATATAATTTATTTTCCTAGTCAACTGAATTTCCTTTGTATTTTTAGGAAAATGACTTATCATCTAATTTTCCGTAAGTCATTTTACGAACTTTTCTCTTCAAAGCATAAATACTCAAAACATTATTATTTTATATATGTAATATTAATATATTATTTTAATATCATTTTAATAAAAATATTAATTATTAAATTATATTTATTGATATTTTTAATAATATAATATTATTTTTTCTTACTATAATTATATTATTATAATATATAATATTATAATTTTATTTTAATAATATATTAAATTATTAATAAAATTAATATTATTTATAAATTTCATAAAAATAATATTATTGAATTGTTGAATGTTTAATATATACTCTTTAAAATATAATATAATATTTTTATTTTATTTTATAATTTTTAATATTTTAATAATATCATTATTTTAATAAATAATTAATAAAATTAATAATATATTATTCTTGTTTTAATAAATAATTAATATAATTTATAATAATTTTATTTTAATAAAATATAATAATCATAATATTTTTATTTATAAAATTATAGATATAATATTTTAATAATAATATGCCATAAATAATATTTAATGAATTATTCTAATATTTTAAAAATAATATTATTATTTTGTTAATAAATAATATTATTCATTGTATTTGATGTTTATAATAAAGAACTTTTTAAAAAAATTACCAATCAGTGGAAAATAAAAAATGAATTACACAACATCATCCAAACATCGTAAAATGATTTCCAGAAAATATTTTTCTGGATATGTAATTCATTTTACAGAATTATTTTTCAAAATCTGTTTTTCGTGAAACAAACGAACCCTAAAAACTATTTCCTGATCAAATCTCGGAGTGTGGTGTTGAAAATAGGCTGCTGACCAAACGTCAGCGTAAAGCTTATAATTTGGCCATTGAACCATCAACCATGAAGCCCTCATTTAGTTTTACACTTGTGGTGAAGATGGACCAGTGAAGCATTTGAGTTGTGTTTCAAGTCATAATTATTTCTTCTAAAGTTTTTCGGTTGATAATTTAAGATCATTTATGGTTTGAAGATGTGTTTGAATTGGATAAATTTTACTCAGTCATATTTGATAGAATTGGATAAAATTTTGAGAAGTTCGAATCTACTATCACCATATTCTTCTTCTTGTACTTTAACATAGGCACATAGCTGACTTACAGAGAGCCCTTTGAATTTTTAAAGGTTGATGCAAATTCTAGGTTCATTTAGTATATATATTAATAATATTTTAGAATAATATAGA